TTGGAGGCGAACAGAACCCCGATCTGAATGTCCAGGTCCGCGGAGGAGTTTCCCCGCTCGCCCCGCAGGTCTGCCAGGTAGTCCGGGATGATGGGCACGATCACCATGTAGAGCATGTTGTCCAGCAGCAGCGCCACGCACACCACCACCAGCAGGAGTCTCCGCTGCCGCTCGGGCTCCCGCAGCGCGCCGCCCAGCTCTCGGCTCCTCTCGCCCATCGCGGACAGCTGCAGGACGGCGGACTGAGCCAGCCCCGGTGCCCCGGTGGACTGCATGACCTTCGGTCGGTGAGTGTCCCACGGCGGATCAGCGGAGCGGGCTCTCTGTCATTCCTCTGCGCGCGTCTGAATTACGCACGAGCTCTCCGCGCGCTCGCTGGCTCGGCGCTATCTGCTTCAGTGTTTTCCCCTCACGGCTTCAGTCCTGAGCTCTGCGTCCTCCGTGGACATTATTCTCGACTGAGCTCTTTCCCATTTAGTGCCGGTGACGCGCGCAACCGTGTGCGCTTTCTCGTGTGCGCGCAGGCTGTGCACCTGTTGTCGCCGGTCACGCGCGCCAGGATCTCTCCATCAGATACAGCAGAGAGTCCAGATCCTCCCGCAGAGCAGACTGAGAGCTCCAGCTTCCTCCTCCGCTTTCTGCAGCCCGTTCCTCTCTGGGTCCCGCTCATCTGGGTAGGGCTGCACCGGCTCTCCACACCACAGCTGTAGTAACCTCTCTAGCCTGGAACTAAACCTGTAACTCGGTTTCAGCACATGTTCATACAGCAGAGTGTGGTGAGCGGGTCGAAGCTCCGCGTAAAGTATTGAGGAGAGACCCAATACACCCAAACTACACACACACACACACACACACACACACACACACACACACACACACACACACACACACACACACACACAGAGTGTGTCTCCTCACACCTGATCTGTACACCTGGTGAAAGTGTCTGAATGAGTCCAGCACTGCATGTGAAGGCGCTGTCTGAGCTCAGGGATGAGGAGGAGGTGTGCACTCTGTGTTGTGCGTGTTTAATGATGCTTTCATTGCTGTTTTTACTCTGAGATGTGGAAGTTTAATTTGGTTAAAGAGTCAGGTGTTGTCTGAGCGCCATCATTTACAGCTGCTTTTATTAGTAGGCTAATCCACTAAAGCCAGATGATAATAACCTGATATCAGATTAAAGAGGAAACACTGCACGCCCGGGCTGGCTGTGAGTAACTGAAGGTGTTGGTCAAAGTAAACCGCGAGTTTTATTCAGTGTGTTGCGGTTGCTGTTGCTGTTGTAGCGGCGCCACACTGACCCCTGCTGGACACGCGGGGAACTGATCACTGTGACCGTCAGCTCTCTAATGCAGAACTGCAGCAGCCCGCGAGCTCTTCATCAGGGGGTTCCGGAGCTCAGAGTGGAGCTCATGCTGGGGTTAACCCACTCGGTCTTCATTTGCTGCTTTGATTGACTTTTAAAATATCTAAAATGCTGAATTAAATCCAGAATGCAGATATCTTTCCCTACAGCCGGTAGCCCGATGACTTCATAATAAAGCCGCCCGGTTCATGATATCCGAGTGAGAGTTAGAGTTTACCCCGGGGGTCGCAATCCAACACAACAAGAACTGAAAGGCTGATGGCTTTTTATTTGCATGAGGTTTTTAATGTAACTAATGCTAGTGTTATCTTCTGCAGTGGGCAACACAATCGCCTCAGGCAAGAAAGTCTCTGATTTGAGTCTCGGCTGGGTCAGTTGGTGTTTCTGTGTGGAGTTTGCATGTTCTCCCTGTGTTGGTGTGGGTTTCCTCCGGGGGACACAAATACTTCATCCACATTATATCCGGGACTTTCCTGAACCCTTTTCAGCCCATATCTGACATCCTGCATGGCTTTGTCCTGGTTTAGATGAACATGACCCCAAACAGGACTAAAACGTGACCAGGAGGCATTTATATTGAGATATTTACACAAATCAACCATTAGTCATGTGCAGTGCTGTTAGTGGAGTAACAGCATTCCAGATCCATCAGAGCAGGAGCTTTCAGAGGAGAAGCAGCCCACACTTTATTTTGATGGTCTGTTTGGTTTGTTACATCACATCTACATGCCAACTAATCCTCATTACATGATCAGTAGACTGCTGGGGTTAGAGTAAGTTGACATGTACCTGCAGTGTCTTATAGTCAGTCAAAGGTTGAAGCAGATCAGCAGACATTAAGCAGACAGACAGGCTGCTAATACTCAAACAGAGCATCAGAATAAAGTGCTGCTGAACAGTCGCAGATGCTCGAGCTGTGCACTAAACCACTGAATGTGTGGACACTTTAGTCCTCCTGATCAAATGGGGAATAGATGTAGATGTAGAGACGTTTATTTGGCCAAATAAAGTTGGTAAAGAGTTTCTTGATGGAGGAAAACAGTGGTGAGGGAGGGGTTTGAGGATAATTTGGAACAAATAAAGAAATGTAGGGAGAATATTCAATTTTAGGATATTTATCCTGCCAATCATTGACATGGGTGTTTTACTGATGAAGCTTCCAGAATTGTGTCTTTATTTATCTGAGCTCGACAATTATACCCAGATATGTACAAATATCCGTCTGATTAAAGGGAGAAGCGTAACCCTGCTGTTCCTCTGATTCATAAAGGAAAATTATAGATGATCTGCACTGATTAACTTTATATCCAGGTATTTTCCTAAGAGTGTGTGTCAGTAGATCCAGCAGTGCAGGAGAAGCAGAATGACACGGTCTGCAGATGATGTTCATTTGTGCTGCAGGTGGCTCTCTCGAATTCCACAGAGCGCGTTGCGCATGCTCACTGTGGCGCTACAGCGAGGGATTGAGCATCACTCCACTGTGGCCGCTAGATGGCGCGCTCTGACCGGGAATGGCCAGCTGAGAGACCAGTCAGGGGTTTCAGATTAGAGAAAAGGTTCAGTTACTGGTTGTGTTGTCGGTGTGTGTCTGCTGTTCTCTGCAGTGGTAAAGGTTGATTAAACTAAACTGGACTAAAGGAGACGAAGATCTCCCATCATCCAGAGCTGAAGCATCATCATCATCATCATCATCATCAGAAGAGGGCTTCATGTTGGAGTAATCAGGACTGCACACGCCGCATTACTGTAGACCATTCCAGAGTGGTCATGTAATCAGCTCATGAACATTTCCTGCTTGTCCTCAAACTATTTCACAACTTTACCAAGCGGCAGTTCCCTCATGACAACATTAAAGCAGCTCAGAACATTATTGATCAGTGTGTGGCTCTTCTGCATCCTCTGAAGAATTAAGAAATGTCTCTATCATTCAGCCATAACAGTGTGTGTGTGTGTGTGTGTGTGTGTGTTATGCGGACACCATCAGTCAGGTTTCCTCAGTAGATGATTAAACTCTATATCTGGATTAAACACTCTGCTGTAGAGTCCAGTGCTGCTGCAGGATCTGATGCTGAATCAGTGTTCCTGACTATAATCAGAGTCCCGAATCTCCTTTACTCTGAAATGTGTCAGGCGCTGAGGGAATCTGCAGTGTGTGTCCTAATCTGGAGTCTGAGGAGCGTGAGAAAGTTCCTGCAGTGTGTGTGTGTTCGTCTATTTCAGCGTCTGATTCTGAGAAGACTGAAGAAGATAATCCAGATTACAGGTCAGCGGCACCTTCCACAGCAGAGATAGCAGAGCCTGAACGCCACTGACCCACTGATGAGAGTGTGTGTGTGTGTGTGTGGCCGAGAGTGAGTGTGTGTGTTAGTGTGTATACAGGAGTCTAAGTTTGTGTGCGTTTGTGTCCAAAAAATGGCCCTATGAAGTCAAAAGGTCAGTGTGTGTGTGTGTGTGTGTGTGTGTATGTGTGTGTGTGTGTGTGTGTTTGTCTTCCACATATAGTGCTTGAGTGGTTATTTAATCGGTGACCTCTTGATCTTGATCAGTGCTGATAATAGCTCACCCCCTGCTTTAAATACTCCAGACATCTCCAGAAAACAGACTGAGGCGTCTCCAGTTAAACAACTTCTACAAAGCGGGTCAGCAGTTCTGAAAAATGATTTAATCTTTCCCAAAAGTGGAGCAGAGCGGACAGAGAGGGTCCATACACACACGTCCAGCAGCCAGTTCTGTTAAAGGAGGGATGAAGACTGCTGAACATGAGCGGAGAGAGGAAACACACACCTGACTCCTCAAACACAGGAGGACACACGCGTGTGGAGATCATCTGAGGAATATTGAGCTCCTTTATCACCAACAGCACACATTCAGTCTCATTTCAGCCCAAAGTGTGGAGGTCTAGCAGACACCATCACACACAGAACCGCCTGCTTATGAGCAATAATCAGGGAACACGCTGCTAACAGAGGAGTCAGTGTTTGAGGATCAGTGTGTGTGTGTGTGTGTGTGTGAGCGGCCCCATGACCAACCGCATTAATGCTGTCCTGATCCTCTTACACACACACACACACACACACACACACGTCATAAATACAGATCTAGCGATACGAGAGCAGAGGCATTACTGCAGATTATAAACCCTGGAGAATTCATAATCCGGCTGATTAGCGCAGGCTGGAGAGCGGCTCGATCAGCGCTGCACAAACACACACAGATCAATAAATCAACAGAACCGCCAATGAGTGCTGCTAGTGTGATCAGAGATTCTGGAGTGCAGCTGACCCGTTATCATGGCTTTATTCACAGCATTGGTCAGGAAGACTTTAAAAACAGCTTTATAGAGCGGATTCTGTGCAGGGAAATCCTCTCTCTCTCTCTCTCTCTCTCTCTCTCTCTCTCTCTCTCTCTCTCTCTCTCTCTCTCTCTCTCTCTCTCTCTCTCTCTCTCTCTCTCTCTCTCTCTCTCTCTCTCTCTCTCTCTCTCTCTCTCTCTCTCTCTCTCTCTCTCTCTCTCTCTCTCTCTCTGAGCTGCACTCAAACACAGCCGCTAATGAGGACCAATCAGTGGAGGATTCTGGGAGATGCAGAGAACGACACACACAGCAGGCATAAACACAGCGCTACACACACACACACACAGATGAAGATCTTTATTTCTTTTTGTCTGCAGATTTCTGTCCGGTGAGGAACTGCCAGACGCCGCCGCGGTAGAACTCGTTTCCGTACGCGTACAGGACGGCGTGGAAGATGGGAGAGGTTTTGGCCAGCACCGGCAGCACCTGCGGAACAGAAGCACGTCAGCGCTAGTGCTAAAGCTAATGCTAATGATAACCGACACGGCACACACTCACCATCCTGAGACGCGGCGACAACACAGACACGTCCTCGAAGCAGGCCAAGCTGCAGACCACCACATACGGACCCCAGCAGAACAGCAGAGCCTTCAGCGGCAGACCGGTGTTAAACTGCACACAGAGAGACGACACACACTAACCTATAGCAGTGTGTTATCTAGCTAGTACCCTATAGCAATGTGTTCTCTAGTGAGTACCCTATACCGGTGTTCTCTAGCCAGTGCCCTATAGTGGTGTGTTCTCTAGCAAGTACCCTATAGCAATGTGTTCTTTAGCGACTAACCTATAGCAGTGTGTTATCTAGCGAGTACCCTATAGCAGTGTGTTATCTAGCAATACCCTATAGCGGTATGTTCTCTAGCGAGTACCCTATAGCAGTGTGTTCTTTAGCGAGTACCCTATAGCAGTGTGTTCTCTAGTGAGTACCCTATAGTGGTGTGTTCTCTAGCGAGTACCCTATAGCAGTGTGTTCTTTAGCAAGAACCCTATAGCAGTGTGTTCTCTAGCAACTAACCTATAGCAGTGTGTTATCTAGCTAGTACCCTATAGCAATGTGTTCTCCAGCGAGTACCCTATAGCAGTGTGTTCTCTAGTGAGTACCCTATACCGGTGTTCTCTAGCCAGTACCCTATAGTGGTGTGTTCTCTAGCGAGTACCCTATAGCAGTGTGTTCTT